GCCTCGGCCTCCCAGAGTGCTAGGATTATAGGCGTGAGCCACCGCGCCCAGCCTAATTTATTATTTTTTATTGTTTTCTGTGCATGAGTTATATGCAATGCCATCCATGTTTTTAGAATTAAATTGTCAATATTAATTGTAACAATAAGAACATCAACAAGTAAGATTTTCATGAACATGAATCAACTGTAGGGTTTTGCTTCATGAAGCCCTGGGGTCAAAACTAGCTTGAGTTAAATACAACTCACATGGCAGTCAATGCGTTGATCTTTTCCCCTCCAGATTGCTTCCTGAGGAGGTTGGTCCTTCTGAAGATCCTGAAGACCCTAAAGGAGGTAGGTAAAGGAGAAACTAGGCCTCAAGTTCTTGATTCTAGTCCAGTGAAGGGCTGTGCCACCACTATCCTTTCGCAGTTCCATTTCCCCCTTTTCCAAATGTCCCCTGCGTTGGTCCTTCCTTCGTCAGAGTTCACCCCATATTCTCACTTCCACACACAGGAATTCTAACCACCCCAACCCCCTCAACACACATATATTTCTGTTCTTTTTTCCCCCTTCCTCCATCCCCAGGTATCCCCAACACTTTAGCCCTATGTGGCCAGCGCCCCATGCGTAAGCGTCTTTCTGCCCCAGAGTCGTGGCTGAATCTGACTAAGGGGCCTGGAGATAATGGAGCTTCTCCTACCCACTCTTCACCTTCCTCTGCTGATGGCAGTTCTGACCTGGAGATAGACGAATTGGAGACACCTTCAGACTCGGAGCAGCTGGACAGTGGACATGAATTTGAATGGGAAGGTGGGAAGCAAACCTGAGGATCCCGAGCTGGTAGAAGTAGAGGCCAGTGTTAAAAGAAGCTCAGGGTGGATTTAATGGGACTGAAGTTAGAACTAATAAGGTGGGGACCAAGAGGTAAGGCCAGCAAAATTAATTTCCTCAGAATGGAAAAGTAGAGCTTACAGATCCAATGCGAGAGTAGTCAGTAGAGGGGGAGGAGTCCTTTGTTTATTAAGGAAAGCTTTATTGAATGCCTGTTACGTACTATCATTGAGCCAGGACTGGGGTTCTAAAGATGAATAAAAGAGGCCCTACTCAGGGAGTTCTCTGTTTAGTAGGAAATAAACATACATACAAAGAATTACAGTTAAAGGTTATGATCTGCATGTATATAGGGGACAGGGTAGGCAGGGAGAAGGAAAAGCACAGTTCTGCCTGAGAGATGTTAGGAAAGACTTCACTGAGGAGGTGATTCTGAGTGGAGAGTTAAAAGCTGAAGCTGATGTTTATCAGGTAGTTGGAGAGAGGGCTTTCTAGGTGGAGGAAGCAACTCAAGCAATAGCATGGCACCTTGGGGAATGCAAAGGATAAAGCATGACCATTTGAATATGAAGGGCTGCAATGGCAAGCCAGATGCTCCGGCTCCATGCGTGGTGCCAGGCTGGCCAGGATGCGGCCCAGAGGCAGCCGGTGGCTCACTTCACTCTCCAGCTCAACTCAGAGCCCCAGGAGTACAGGCACACTCAGAAAATGAATCTTTTCCAGTCAGTAACAAGTGCCTTGGATAACTCACTGCCTAAAGATCCTACTGCAGTAATATTTGGTGAAGATGTTGCCTTTGGTGGAGTCTTTATTTTTTTTATTTTTTGAGACAGAGTCTCACTCTGTTGCCCGGGCTAGAGTGCCATGGCGTCAGCCTAGCTCACAGCAACCTCAAACTCCTGGGCTCAAGCGATCCTCCTGTCTCAGCCTCCCAAGTAGCTAGGACCACAGGCACATGCCACTATGCCCAGCTTATTTTTTCTATTTTTAGTAGAGACGGGCGTCTCTTGCTCAGGCCGGTCTCAACTCCTGAGCTCAAGCTATCCTCCCGCCTTGGCCTCCCAGAGTGCTAGGAATACAGGCGTGAGCCACCACGCCTGGCCTTAGGCAGAATGTTTCTTGAGCCTAGAGGCTCCTATATCAAAAGTATGTGGATATCACACACCATTTCCTCACATTTTTTGAGCCATTCTACATCCCAGACAAATGGAAGTGCTATGATGCCCTTTGAAAGATGATGAACTATTGACCACATAGAAAATCTGGAAGATTGTGACTAGATATGGATATATTTTTCTAAATTTTTTTATATTTCCTCAGATTTATCTTTTCTTGAAAATAGTTTTTAATGAAGTGAACCATCATAGATATTGGCTGAAAAGTTATAAATTAATTATTGTATTGTAACACATAGGAATTGATGATTTTCATTGAGTGTTTCAGGTTAACTTTTTAAAATGTTCCACATTGTAGTCTTATAAATTGTCTAGTTTTACATCTGTCAATATTGGATTTGGGATAGTATTCAATAAAGCAAAATCAGATTGTCAAAAAATAAAAAGTAAATAAACAAATATGAAGGACTGGGAGGTGAAGAGAGAATGACAAAAGAGAGTGCTGGCAAAGATCAGATCACAGAGGCCCTTGCTGCCATGCTAAGTAAGGGGTTTAGATTTTATCCCGTAGGTAGTGGGGAGTCATGGAAAGGTCTTAAGGGAATAACATCAAATTTAATGACTGAAAAAATTGGAAACAACCTAAAGATCTATCAGTAAGGTATTAATTCTATTATGGTACATCATGCAATGGAATACTACATTCTGTGCAACTTTTTTAAACATAAGGCAGATCTTTTGATTGCTATGGAAAGATAATGCAGAATGGTGGGTATAGTACATTATCATTTGAGTAAAAAGGTAGAGAAGAAAAAAAGTTTGCTCTAGCAGTGGTGTAGAAGATAGATCAGAGAAAAACAGACTAGAGGCAGGGAGGGCAGTTAGGAGGCTAGTACTAAGGCCAGGTGAGAAATGCTAAGAACCCAAACTAGTACAATAGTAGTAGAAAGGATGAGAAGAGAATATAATAGAGATACCCTGTGATCCCAGCTACTTGGGAGGCTGAGGCAGGAGGATCCCTTGAGGCCAGCCAGGAGTTTGAGACCAGCCTGGGCAACATAATGAGAGCCCATCTCTAAAAAAAAAATTTTTTTAAGGATATAATATAGATGAATGGGGTCATTTATCAAGATAGGAAATATGGGGGAGAGTAAGAAGAGAATGATTTTGAGTTCCATTTTGGATCTGATGACTTGGTGAGAGGGAGACGCAAAGTGGAGATGTCCACTCTTGGCATTTAGGGATCATGGATCTGGAGTTAGAACTGAAGCCTAAGTTAGAAAGGCAAATTTGGGAGCCGTCACCTTACTGGTGGTGATTGAAGACATGGGAATAGATGAGCTCACCTAGGAAAAATCATGTAAAGAAAGAAAAAGAGAATCTCAAAAAAAAGCCAAAAAAAGAAAAACTGATACTGGCAAGGGCCACAGACTTTCGGTAGGTCAGCCCAAGGCCATCGTTGAGTGAAAAGGTTAGGATAATGAATAACAGGAAAAACAAACCAGCAAGGGATTGGGTTGATTGGAAAATTAGAGCTAAAGAGTCAAGGAAAAAATTGAGGAATGAAAGATTAGAGTAATAAACTCTAGGAATCTGGGGAAGTTACCAAAAAACTGAAGGTAGGAAATCTGTCACATTGATGATCTTTGCCCATCCTTCTCTTTTAGATGAGCTGCCCCAGACAGAGGGTCTGGGGCCCAGTGAGGCAGCTGAAAGGCTGGGCCGGGGTTGTATGTGGGATGTGGCTGGAGAAGATGGTCGTCGCTGGAGGGTGTTCCGAACAGGACAGTGGGAACAGCGAGTGGACATGACTGTCATTGAGCCCTATAAGAAAGTCCTGTCTCATGGAGGTAAAGGCTAGCATAAGTGAAGCTTATTTAGCTTCTTAAATAAAATGCCTAAGCTGGGGACTCAATTATTAGATTCAAAATCCTTCCTGTAACTTCCAGAGATCCTCAGAGTCTCTCTCTTTTTCTTTTTTGGATATGGGGTGTTGTGGGGAAGGAAGGCGATCCAGAGTCTCTCAACTTAAACAGATGTGCTATCTGTCAATACATATTCGTTGACTGAATGAATTTTCCCTTTATCCTTTGCAGGTTACCATGGCGATGGCCTCAATGCTGTCATCCTCTTTGCTTCCTGTTATCTACCCAGGAGCAGCATCCCCAACTACACCTACATCATGGAACACTTGTTTAAGTGAGTTGGAAGGCCTGAAGCGATATAGGGAGGGCATCAGGGAGGGAAAAGTAAAAAAGAACCCCTTCCAGGATCAGTAGCTCATTGGAGAATCTACAGTAATGTTCCTTTCACTTCTTACAACCCCAGCACATAACTTCCCTGCACTTTCATCCCCCCAGGTATATGGTGGGAACACTGGAACTGCTGGTAGCTGAAAATTATATGCTTGTTCATTTGAGTGGAGGTACAAGCAGGGCCCAAGTTCCACCTATGAGCTGGATACGCCAGTGTTACCATACCCTGGATCGGCGGTGAGACCCTAGGACAAGAAAGCTACAACTCTCTGTCTTTTTCTTTCCATCTTTTCATTCTTTCTTCCATTTAGTCCCTTCCTCTTTTCTTTGTCCCTTTACATCCCTTTCTAAGCCTCTCCTGCCTTCTATCCTCTCTTGGAGTCAGAGAAATCTAGTTTCAAATCTTGCCATTACCACCTACTAGTTGTATGATTTTGGACAAGTCACTTAACCTTTCTGGGCCTCAGCTTCTTTATCTGTAAAATAGCAATGATGATGCCTTTGCCAGTGGGTGTTTGTGAAAATCATGTAAATCAGTGTGGCATATTGCCTGGCACATAGATGGCATTCTACCTTTTCTCCCAGTCTTCCTGTGTATTTCCCTTTCCACATCTCCATTGTCTTCTCTGCCTTCATCTCTGACCTATATGCCTTTTCCCCCCTCATGGTCCTTTTATCCCCTTTGTTTTCCCATCTTCCTTTGCTCACTTTTCTCTTTTCCTTTTTCCCTCCTTCCTGGTCTTCTTCTACCTGGAGTTTTATAATAGTCCTGGTCATGCAGACATGGAGAAGTATGCAAAAGGAACTTATGTGAGGGCAGGGAAAAGGAGGAAAATGGGGCAGAAAGGCCAGGCCAAGGGAGAGTTTTCTAAAAATGAGGATCATGGAGGGCTAAATAAAATGGGTGGAGGTGAGATTACAGATAAAGGAATGGGGATTAGACCCAAATGATAGAGAAATCTAGAAATTAGAGAAGTGAAGAAAGTTACAATACAAAGATAGCTCCACCTGATCTTCATGCATGAAGGTGGAAGAAGAAATTGGATGATTTCATATTCTTCAGGCTCCGGAAAAACCTTCGAGCTCTGGTGGTTGTCCATGCTACGTGGTATGTGAAGGCATTTCTGGCACTACTTCGGCCCTTCATCAGGTACTAGCTCTGGGGATAAGGACTCCCTTCCCCTTTCCCCCATTTTCAAAATCAAGATTAAGAAGATCTTGCCTGGGCACAGTGGCTCACGCCTGTAATCCTGGCACTCTGGGAGGCCAAGGTGGGAGGATCACTTGAGCCCAGAAGCAAGACTCTGTCTAAAAAAAAAAAAAAAATTAAGACGATCTTGCCCCAGCCTGATTCTTCCTAGCCTTAACCTCTCTACTTCCTGCATGTCCCTTTCTAAGGGTCTCCACGAACCCTCCTCCCAGTACAAAACACACTTGGTTTATCCTCTCTTTTCAGTTCCAAATTTACACGAAAGATCCGTTTTCTGGACAGCCTAGGGGAGCTGGCCCAACTCATCTCCCTGGATCAAGTTCACATCCCTGAAGCTGTCAGACAGTGAGTCCTGTGCTTAAGGATAAAGGTTTCGGGTGGAATGTGTAAAGCCAATCCCCGCTTTCTTGATGCCTTGGAGGAGATACAAAGGAATTAAAAGATAGAGGCCTTGCTTTCAGGTGCTTCAGTGTATCTGGAAAAACTGCATATACCCAGAGGGGAAATTAAGGACATGCTGCATCCAAGAGGAACAAGTGAAAAAAACTATACATATAAGTGCAGAAGCATCAGGGAATAAAGGAATGATCACAGTACAGAAGTTAGAGGAGATTCAGACTGGCCCTAAAAATTAGGAAGAAATATGTTGGCAGTGAATAGGAGATTATATCCAGTAGGGAAGAGCAAAGGATGTTAAATGCTAAAGCTAATGCTAAATGATGACTGAAGCACCCAGTCTTCTAGCTCTTCCAATTCACCTGGCTTCTGTCCCCCAAACCAGTGAGTAAAACCCAAGTCCTGACCTTGAACCACTTCTCTCCCCCACCTCACCCTCCCTCTCCTAGGCTGGACCAGGATCTCCATGGCTCTGGAGGGACCTAGTACAGGACTGGATAAAGGGCCTTAGAAGCCAGCAAAGATGGCAATCTGCCTACACCCTAATTCCTGAAACATCTGAGCTGTTTCGTAAATCATCTTATCCTCAACCCCAGGACCACTGGATCTTCACTTCTCAATGGGATGTCATCCTTTCCATGACCCTGCCTTCAGCAGGAGGTTGAGGTTGGGAACCTGATCTGCTGGGTGACTTTCATTTCAGCGGAGTGGGGTGAAAGGCTGAGAGTAGAGGTATTTTGTATGGGAAGTGCAGAGCTCTAGGTTATAATTCTGCTTTAGCTGTAGAACGCTGGGCAAATAACTTCTCTTTGGGTCTTATTTTCCTCCTCTGTGGGTGAAGGGGCTGTGATCCTTTTCACCTTGGGCGGGAGCGGCATAACTGTTGGCAGCCAGCCAGCCTGCTGGGAGCTGGGAGTGCCAGCTTGCTAAACCTTGAAGAACCGCCATATGCCGTCTCTCCTGAGTCATGTCTGCTGCCTGTGAGCCTGGGAAGGAGTGCTTTCAAAACCTGTATTTATCCCTCCTTAGTAAATTCAGGTCTGTAGCGGCTAATAAACTTCGATGAGAGATTTAAACTCTGCGCCGAGGAAATCAACGACTCTTTCCCTAACCCCTTACATCACAATCCGTCTCGCGGTTCTGGCACGGAGTTCTTGGAGCAGAGGTTCCTTCGGATTTTCACCTCAGCCCCTGGGGCTGCGGGAGCGCCCCGCGTGGCGCACGTCCACGCGCCGGCACCCCAACCTCCCCCAGCCCGCGGGCCTCCGTTCAAACGACCCCCCGGTGGGTCGAGAGCCGAAGGGAGGGAGCGAAGGTGGGGGTCCTGCCTCGCTCGCTGGCCTCCCTCCCAGCCCCAAGCCGCCCAGCCCCATGGCCCCCGCCGCCGGCCTGCTGCTCTGGGCCCTGCTGCTGAGTCTGGGGTCCCCGGCGGCGGGGGCCCACGACCAGACCCAGACCCCGACCCGGACGCAGCAGGTCAGTTTACGCTTCGGGGGTCCCCTGACCCGCAACTACCGGAGCACCGCCCGGACCCGTCTCCCGCGGAGGACAAGGATAATTCTGGAGGATGAGAATGACGCCACGGCCAACGCCGACCGCCTGGCAGGCCCGGCCGCTGCCGAGCTCTTGGCCTCCACGGTGTCCACAGGCGACGGCCGGTCGTCCGTGTATGAGGAGGATGGGTCTTTGGAAGAGGGGGTTGTGATTAATGCCAGAAAGAATAAGATCAGCCTGGAGACGCCAGCTGCCACTCGCAGTACAGCAGGGGGTTCCACCACGACGTTTGTAGCTAACAGCCAGGAACCCGAAATTAGGCTGATTTCAGGCCTGCCTCGCTCTACCTCAAGGTCCCGGGAGGACCCGCGGGTCTCCGAGGCCACCCTGAGCCTGTGGTCGACAGCCGGGTCCACCCCAAGTCGGTGGCCGTCACCCTCGCGCACAGCCATGCCACCTCCCGAGGATCTGCATCTCGTGTTGATGCCCTGGGGCCCGTGGCACTGCCACTGCAAGTCGGGCACCATGAGCCGGACCAGGTCCGGGAAGCTGCAAGGCCTTTCCGGGCGCCTTCGAGTTGGGGCGCTGAGCCAACTCCGGACGGAGCACCGACCTTGCACCTACCAGCAATGTCCCTGCAACCGACTTCGGGAGGAGTGTCCCCTGGACCCAGGTCTCTGTTCTGACACCAGCTGTGCCTCTCAGACCACCACCACCACCACCACCACCACCCCCTTCCCCAGCCTCCAAGCGAGACGCCGACCCAGCCTGCCGCCCCCAACCCCCAGCCCCAGCCCCAGCCCCAGCCCCGCGCTGGCTTTTTGGAAACGGGTCAGGATTGGCCTGGAGGATATTTGGAATAGCCTCTCTTCAGTGTTCACAGAGATGCAACCAGTAAGTGTTTGGTGACGAGCCGGGATCCTTGTTGGTGGATCTGAAAAGTCCTAATATTCAAAACTCTGTTGCTAAAGCCAGCATGTTCCTGTGAACTGTTACTGACTTATCTAGTTGGTTGTTTTTGTTTTTTTAATTTTTTAAGAGCCCAAATGTGTGAAGACTTATTTGGTTATTGATTCATAATGTGCATTGGTTATTCACATTATTGTTAGCCATTGATTCCATCTATTATTTCTTGAGCAACTGCTGGTTGGTTATTAGGCAACATGTCTTATTGGTCATGAGATGATTATTGACTAAATAGTTAAGATTGTAAATATATAAAGACTTCTTGATGTACAGATAATTAATGGATATGGAGGATATCAATAGTTTTGACCTAATTAATGCAGCTTAACAGTTAACAGCAGCAAATATTTGAGGTCTTGCTTATATGTACCTTACCTGGATCAATCCTCACAACCCTTCGAGGTATTATTATCCCCACTTTACAAGTGAAGAAACCGGGGTTTACAAAGCTAGTAAGCAGCAGAGCCACAAGTGAGATTTAAACCAGGTTTGTTCGACACCAGTGCTCATCCTCTTAATACCACCATCGGGAAGAACTGTCCTTCTGGGATTCTTCCCAACAACCGAATTCTCAAGGAAGGACAGTCCTCTGCTTTACCAAGAGTTACCAGAAGTTCTGATTGATCTGATAAGGTAGTCTCAACTAAGAGGGATGACAGGACCTTTGGGGAAAAGCGAAAGGCAATAAACAAAGGGTGTACTTGGTCATTTTGCTGGTTTCTGTTTTTGTCTTTCTCCTTGTGTGTCCAATACCATTATTGAATATGAAAAAGAAGTATAAATGAGGGGGCAGTACGGTTAAAGGAATGAGAGTTTGTGGGAGGGGGAGATGAAGCAAGGAAGGGAAAAGAATATAGATGTGGTTGTAATTTCCCATTTTCTCTATTTTTTTTCCTTACTCAGATAGACAGAAACCGGAGGTAATGGCCACTTCATCCACAAGAGGAGGTGTCAGCATCTCAACCTCTCTTACCTTTTCAATTCCAGCACCCACTAGATATATTTTTAGTACAGAAAAACAAAACTGGAAAATACACTGTTTGGTCTTGTGTCTTTTTACAGAGGTATCTGAGGGAGAGACCATAAATCTCTTTAACCTTAAAACTGAACTGTGTAGCTAGCAGCCTCTGGCTTGTTCCCCAACTCCCTGTCCCCCAGGATAAAATGTTAATGTTGCTCATTTTCTTCATTTCCAATGTCGTTTTTAAATAAGTACTACTTAAAAACTTGAAAAATCTCAAACGCTAAGAAAAGGGAATAGGAACAAGTAGTCAAGCCCTTGAAAGATGATGGTCTTCTCCTTGCCTTCAACAATATTTGGCCCTCTCTCCTCAGATAGGACAATGTTGGTACAAAATTCCATTTCAGCCACTTCCGAGGAGTTATCTTCATCAGCCATACCTATTCTTTTATCCAACACACACCTGTAGTGATTACTCTGCAACTGTTTTGCTTAAATGTTTTTATTTGAAAAATGTATTTAAAAGTCCAACAATTTTTTAATATAAATTATGACTCTCAAACCCATTCCCATCACTTTATTGTTAAAGTGATGGTGGCATACACATTAGAGAAGGTAGCTAAAGGCAAGAGAGCACCAAAGAAAAGAGAAGACTGTGTCCAAAGAACAGGTATTAGAATGAGGCTGAAGATCATGGTGACCAGACATTCTGCGAGTCCACAACCTTTCTATCCTATCCTGTTAGCACTTTAGATCTCTAGTTCAACACTCAGGCTATTGATCAGAGCAACTAGCTAGACTGAAACTAAGAGTAAATTGGGAATGTAATTCTATGACCAATCTTGAAAAGCAGCAGGAAATACACCAAAATTTTAAAAAATTAAAACCTCAGTCACTGTACTGTAGGTGGGAGCAAACTGGATGGATAGTTGAATCAGCGGAGTGCACACCAGTTCCCACATCCCTGACCCCCACTACCATAAAAGAGGATGCTTCTGGCTGCAGAGATAATAAGAGACCCCAGCCTTCTTGTCTCAGAGCAGGCAGGAGTTCATCTATCTTGTTCTGCCTTCCTAATTAGCCTGCAAGGAAAGGGCCAGAACAAAAAACACCTGAGAAAACAAAGTGCCTAAAGACCCTGCTCTACATTGCTTTCTCATCTAAAGCAGACTATTCAGCCAGGTGGGCAACGCGACCTGGTCTTCAGACAAAACTCCCTGAGTCTTATTTGTATCTGGTTTTAGGACCAGGGCACAGAAATAGAACTGAAAATTTGGGGAGGATAAGCTGGGGTGTCTCTACTGCTTTTCTCTCCCCTTACC